AGCAGGTGTTCAACGTGTTAAGAGAAAAAGACCATCATGGAGTAACTTAGCAGTAGAAACGTGAGCACAGCAAATCGCGAGCCGGCTAGATGGAAGGAGGGAACCATTGGAATGTTTTTAATGTGTTCTGAAGATCTATTTCTATAACTATTTTATAAACTTGGAGATATAAAATTCTATTCAATCATGACAAAATGGAGTGAGAACTAAAGATAAATGGATGTTGTCTTCATATGTTTGAGAACAGCTTTCACAAACTAATGCTGGCGTCATACTTAATAGTAGATGCTAAAGGCTTCTTTTCCAAGATTGGAGGAATAAGGATGGAGCTTTCACTGCTTTTTTAGTAACCCTGCCCCTCATGTGCACAGCTGTAGTCCTGCTACTCGGGAAACTGAGGCAGGAGGAGTATGGGTTCCCTGACATGGCATTTTGTTATGAGGGAGCCCTATAAGCGTACAAAGCTCCCTTTGTCTCTTCTTCTTAACCGTCCATGCAGTTGTGTGTTACTGGTCATTTATTTTTCTCACGGCTGTGTGACACTCCATTGCATGACTTTACTCAACTTATTTCTATATTCTGCTCTTTCAGTTCTGAGGTATGCCTGTGTGCTTCCATTTCTCTTCGTCCAGAGTGAGATTGCTAGATTACAGGGTAGACAGATGTTCAGATTGATTGGAAAGGAACAAGCATCCTTCCAAAAGGATTTCACCTGAAGAAGTTAATCTTCATTGCTGACTGGCCTGGTCAGATTCACTCAGGAGACTGGTAAGGCCCACCTCTGGATGTTTCTGGGGACATTTCCAGAAAGGGTTGGCTGAAGTGGGTAGACCTGCCAGAGTGTGGGTGCCACCATCCCACAGGCTATGAGCACATATGAAGTGTAATGTGACTAAGAAAACCTTCCCAACACTGCCGTTCCCCTTTCGTCTGCTTGGTGGTATAACATGATGTGAGTAGCTGAGATCCATCCTGCCTTCCAAGCTGTGGTGGACTGAACCCTTTAAAACGGTGATCAGAAGAAGTCTTTCCTTCCTTCCATCGTTTCTGTGAGATATTTTGCCACAGCAGTAAGAAAGTCACTAATACACCATCTTTTATTCCCACCAACACCGTGTGAACCCAGCTGCTACCATATTCATCCTCTTTCTTTTGACTTTAGTCATTCTTCTGGTGTGAATTTGTATCTCACTGTTTTTTAATTTTATTTCTTGATGTATGTTGGCCACACGTGTGCACAGAACCACACTCAGACATACACATATACTCACAGTTAAAAAATAAATTCTCTTAAAAAATTGAGTTGCATTGGAAACTGTCAAAAATCAAGACCTTGTCTTGAGTCTATTTCTGTACTCTATGCTGTTCATTGGTGTTTCTGTCTTTTTTTTTTTTAAAACAATACTATACTACATTGCCATATTTCGATTTGGTAGTCAATATTATAACTTGTTGTGGGATATTTGTATACTGTGTGAAGATGTATTGCTGTGATTGGTGTAATAAAGAGCTGAATGACCAATAGCTAGGCAGGAGGTAGAGGTGGGACTTCCAGGCAGAGAGAGAACTCTGGGAAGAAGAAAAGGGAGTCACCAGAGAGACAGGAAGAGGAAACAGGAGGTTCAAGATGGAAGAGAGTTAACGCCATGTGGCAGAACGTAGATTAATACAAATGGGTTAATTTAAGTTATAAGAGCTAGTTGGAAACAAGCCTAAGCTAAAGGCCAAGCTTTCATAATTAATAAGTTTCCATGCTGTTATTTGCAGGCTGGTGGTCTGGACGAGAAAGTACTATTACAGCTCCTCTCCAGGGTTGGGGTTCTTGAAGTGTTTCTCAGTTCTGTTAGCCCACTACCTAGTTTGTACGGATCTCCTAATCAAACCTGCTGAGGGTTTTCACTGGGGCTATTATTTCCCTTCTGGAGTAATACGGGGAGGACCGAGGAGCTAATAACATAGAACCTTCTAATACACAAATGTGGTAATGTCTCCATCTGTTTACATTGTTGACTTTATTCCATAATATTTTACAATTTGTGTGTTTGTGTATGTGTGTGTGTGTGTGTGTGTGTGTGTGTGTGTGTGTGTGTGTGTGTATGTATGTGTGTGTGGGGGGGCAGGTGGTATGTGTGTGTTGTACTCACCTGTGCATGTATGTGGAAGCCAAATGTTGGCATCCCAGGTGTACATCTGTGGAGGCTCCAGGTTGATGTTGGGTGTCTTCAACAATTGCTTTCCACCTTATCTTCTGAGACAGGGTCTCGAACTGAAGCTAAGGTTGTGGCCAGCGAACTCTAGGTATCCACCCATTTCCACTCTTTAGCCCTGAACTTACAGATGTACACCATTGTGCTTGCTGGGAATCTGAACTCAGAACACTGTAGCTGGAGAGTTTTCTCTCTGGGTCCCACCAAGCCCTGGCAGCGCAACAGCCCACTTATAAAATAAACACATGACGTTTATATTATTTAAACTGTTTGGCCTAATGGCTCAGGCTTCTTGTTAACTGTTCTTACATCTTAAATTAACCCATTTCTATAAATCTATACCTTGCCATGTGGCTTGTGGCTTACCGGCATCTTCACATGTTGCTTGTCATGGTGGCGGCTAGCAGTGTCTCTTTGGCTCAGCCTTCCACATCCAGCATTTTCCTCTCGGTTTATCCCACCTATATTTTTTGTCTGGCTACTGGCCAATCAGCATTTTATTTATACAGAGTGATATCCACAGCAGAACATCATGTTAGTACAGCAGAAATTTCACCTGATGAGCCATGATCCCAGCCCCACCATATTTTATAGTTGTTGTTTAAATGATCTTATCTAGTTTTTAACCCAGGTTTTACAAGCTTTGATGCTCTTATGAATTATGTTTTTAAGATACATTTCTTAGTCACTGCTGTTAGTGTTTAGAAATAATCCTGTTTTTTTTTTTGTCTTTTGTTCTCATACTCAACAGTTTTATCAAAAATTCATATGTTACTGCCATTTGCTCATACCTTTTTTGGGGGGGTGGAGTAAGGGGGATTTCTATACTCAGAACCATGTCTAAAGAGTATACCTTCTGCCTTACCAATGTTTAGAAGCTTCCCCCTTGCTTTATTTAATTAATTAGGACTACCAGCCCAATGGCCAGTAGAAACAGCAATGGTGGGGACTGATTTGCTTACAGGGTTTAATCTGTTGAGTTGTAGTGTTGTGTGGTAGATACTCTTGTCAGGTCAAGGACATTGCTGCCATGTCTACTATTCCAAGAATTTTTTTTTTTTTTAATTAATGGAAGAATATTTTGTGAAATCATTATTTTCTGTGTCTAATAATAAGATTTATTTTTCTGGTTCTTTAAATGTGGAAAATTTAAATAATAGATTCTAAAATGTTAAGCCAACTTCTCATTTCTTGGTCATGATATACTAGCTTTTACATGTCGTTCTAGGTTCAATTTAGAACATTTTTCTTAGATGTTTTATGTCTGTGTTGGTTGCTGTGGATATCATTCTATATAAATAAAACACTGATGGCCAGTGACCAGGCAGGAAGTAGGTGGCCAGGCAGGAAGTAGGTGGGACAAGGAGAGAGGAGAATTCTGGGAAGCGGAAGGCTGAGGAGGAGACACTGCAGCCACCGCCAGGATAAGCAGCATGTGAAGACGCTGGTAAGCCATCAGCCACGTGGCAAGGTATAGATTTATAAAAATGGGTTAATTTAAGATAAAAGAACAGTTAGCAAGAAGCCTGCCATGGCCATACAGTTTATAAGTGATATAAGCGTCTGAGTGATTATTTTATAAGTGGATTGTGGGACTGCGGGGCTTGGGGAACCTGGAGAGAAGCCCTTCAGCAACAGTTGGTGATGGATGTTAGCCTATGACTTTTCTCTTGATGACTTTGTCATATTTTGATGTCAGTGTTATGTTTGTCTACAAGAGTGAGTAGTAGTCTCCTTTGTTCTGTTTTCTGAAAGAGTTTGTGCAGGGCTGGTCTTATTTCTCTTTTGCCTCTCCCTGCCTTTCCCCTTCCCTTCTTCCTCTGACAGGATCTCTCTATGGTGCACTACAGGCTGGTCTCAAGCTTTAATTTTAATTAATTAATTAATTGATTTTTAATTAATTTTACATCCTGACGGCACTTTCCCCTCCCCGACCCTGGTTACTCCTGCCCCATCCCACCCCCTGCCTCCCTTGATCCTCCTGCTTCAGCGTTTTGGATGCTGGAATAACAGGCATGCATCATCATGTTTGACTATGTCATTTTTTGTTAAATGTTTAGTAGAGTTTTTTTTTTTCATCTTTTTTTGGTGATTGTTAATTACAGATATTATCTTAATATTCTTTTCTGCTCTACTTTTAAAGCTATTTTTTACTCTGTGTTTGAATTTCTGTTTCTGCTAATCTGTCTTTGGATTCCTTGGCTGTCTGAATAAGCCAACCACTGAATATCTAAAATGTAATTGAGGGGCTGAAGAGATGGCTCAGTGGTTAAGTGCCCTGGCTGCTCTTCCTGAGGACCAGAGTTTGATTCCTAGCACCCACGTGGCTCACAACCATCTATTATTCCAGAGCCAGGAGATCCATCACCCTCTTCTGGCCTCTGAAGGCACTGTGTGTGAATGTGGTACACAGACATTACATGAAGACAAAACACTCATGCACATGAAATAAAAATAAAGTGTAAAAAATATAGAGTGTTTTAGTATTTACTTTTAGTTGACTATATACATTTGTCTTGTAGTAAGTTGTTTTAAAATATATATATACTTCAGGGAATGGCTAAACTAAGCTAATTAATATTCATGTCAGTTAAAATATTTTGGAACTCTGTTCTATTGAGGTTAGTGGTGGTTCCACCCCTATGTGAAAATTCCCCATCTGTCATCTGTGGCGGGGGAGTGATGTTTACAAAACATCGCTCGTGGCAATTTTGCAGTGTTTTGGTTATCTGTAGCTTCCCTTCGATTGGTGTTTTCCTTTGAACAATAGTTGAGTTTTCCATTTTCTTTTCAGGAACTGTAAGTTTTTACTCCATTCGAGAGTGACAGACCCTGGAGTCAACTTTACTTCGTCCAGCAGGGATCGTATCCTTTCTTCTTCTCAGGCCTCCAGAGTTGGGTGGAGAGCTCTTTGATGCAGTAAATTTTACAGGATTTGGGTTGATCTGTAGCTTAAATTAGTTTAAGTTGTCTTCCTTCCTTCCTTCCTTCCTTCCTTCCTTCCTTCCTTCCTTCCTTCCTTCCTTCCTTCCTTCCTTCCTTCCTTGGTTGGGTCTGAGCGGCTGTGGGACTGGCGGGTGACAGAGATTTGTCCTGACTGTGGGCAAGGCAGGAAAACTCTAGCTACAGCTCTAAATA